TTCCTTATCCCTGCAGGTGATGAGGTATGAATGCACAGCTCAAAATAAACTTCAGCATAAGTGATGGCAGATATTTTTTTTCATAAATCAAGACAAAATCTTCATAATTCTGGAAAAAAACAGGTGAAAATTGTACTCGTGACACAAGGAAACATCAGATGGGGTGTTACCATCACGACCTTGAGATCTGTGCACAAACATATTACCATAGTTCACATGTGAGTAATCGAGGAAAATGAGGCTCCGGCACTGATAATTGTGGATGATGTAAAATGTCGTAATATCCTGCACATGGCGAGCTTACGTGAGCATTACCATAGCAACATGTTGGAAATAAAGCGAAGAAAAGCTGTGTCAAACCCCACGTAAAATGTAAGTAACCTAGCATCTCCAGCGGTAGTAAGTGTCTATGCCATCACTCGCAACAAAGCAATTGTCCTAACCGCCAACGTTCGTAGGTATTTAATTTGGTATTCTTGCATCATTGATCAGGTCTGAAACCCCTGGACAGAATATGGAAGTGAGCTGAAAAATGCATTTTCATTAATTTCGCTGTCATCATGTGGCTTTCGAGCTTCTCTCGCTCGTTCACTCAAGACATGGGCTTCAATGGCATTAAATAGTAAGCCCGCTGCCATGCAATAGATAGAACACAACGTAATTTGGAGCTATTTCGAGAGGAAAAAAAGCCTTTATTGCCATTGAAGCGCATACACATCAACCAAGGTACTTAAAACACCATACAATGTTGGGTTATAAAATAAATTAAAAAATGGCTGAAGTGAATAATATATATATATATATATATATATATATATATATATATATATATATGAAATGCACCAATGTAGTGAATCAATTCCAATGCAACATCGAAGGCTGCAAACTTCGTCCCATACACTACATTGGTGTGACCACAACGACACTCTCACGACGCCTGACAATGCACTTACGTGACGGGGCACCTCTGGACCACATGCGACAGGAACACGACATGACATTGACACGACAACAACTGACAGACAGCACTGACATTTTACGGACGTGCAGTGACAGAAGACGCCTTCAAATTTGGCAAAGCATATTCATTAACGAACTCTCTCCGGCCTTAAACAGACAAATTCTTGTAGAACTCTTGAGCTACTAGGTGGTGGGCGGTGAGCACTTCTGATGTGATTGTGACAATAGCGTTCCCATTGTGTCTTTGTGATGTTCCCATTATGAGTGTTTCTTACATATATGAAGATGAAAATAGCAATCCGTCTTACTTCAATTAGTTATGCTTCATTTATGTTCTCCGTGCAAAAAGATGTTTTCCAATATATATGTACATGTATACATATATATATGTATATATATATCTATCTATATATATATATATATATATATATATATTTATATAGATGTAAATATATACATGTATATATATATATATATATATATATATATAATAAAATCTGAATAATTAATGTATTCTGCTCTACATACGCTCCATCTCTCCCTGCGAATATTCATTCCTAAAGGGTTTTCATAATAACAAATACGGACATGACCCAAAGGGACAACAATATGTTCAGGATTATTTTGTGAAAAGTATCTAGAGCATTGACTAAGTAAAAGGTGTTTGCCTGTGTGCAAGTTTCAGACCATGTCGAGGCGCATCTTTACTGTGTTCCGTGCCCGTTTCCCTACATTTGAGATTTGTAGCATCTTTTCGGCGTACAAGTGCCCACAGGTGGCTACAGGGGCAACAATGTATAGCACTCCAAACAAGCCCATCATCAAAATCACCGCTATTTGTCTATCCCCTCTGCACCCCTAGTATAGCTTACGTATGCCGCTGATCCTCAACACAGGTGTCATCTGACATAAACCGGGGATGTCCCGAGCGTGGGCGATTGTTCATATGTTGCTTTGATAGTGTTCCGACAGCTTAGCCAAGTTAATGCAGAACACATTTATATGGTGCGTTATCTGATATCAAATTGTGTGACCAGCATCATACATTTAGAAAAAAGAAGGGTGAGTTCCACACGTAGTTAGACAACCTAATTAGGTTACCGTACCATAATTTGTGCACCAATCATGTATACCAACGGGAATTTCATGGGCCAAATTGGTCAGTCTGAGGACTGTTCTGAGTCCCTCATCAGTGAGTGGCAATGATTATTGATCCCCAAAAGAACTTGAAAATGGGGCTAAAATGTCCGCAAGGATCAAACATGGGTGATAAGCAAACGGCTTTCGTATACATGCCTTGAAAAAACTATTTTTTTTTAAAGAGCAGTTGTGCAGCAAAACTATGTAGAAGGTGTATACTTTAAGTTATGTATCTTTCCTTTTATTATTCATTTCTGCTTCAATCATCTACGTATTTTTGTCCAGGTACGACTAGTTGGTGCTAAAATCATCCACTTATTTCTTCACGAGCCGCTATGCACATTAAATGGTCATAGCTAGGCATGGTGAAAACATATTCCCCGTCTTGGCAAGGTCTTAAATTATCTGATATCTGTATTCGGCCAGTAACAGTATTTGCAACACTTTTCCATGTTCGGAGTGTCGAATGTCATGCTGACAAAAATTGAACATTCTGCATAACTCCCCAAGAATGCCTACCGGCCAAGCGCGGCAAGTCCTTTAAGCTTCATACAACCAAATGCTCTGCGGATGGAGCATTTGTTAAGACTTCCGCTCTGGTCTGGTGTGCTAGACAGCGCCAATTAATAAAGCAGACGAGGACGGGGTCGAAATGATACTCCGTCCGATATGCTTATGCCTCTCAACAATCGCTCCTTGGCACTGCGAACAAGCACGCGTTTACCCGATGGCCGTATTCGAGTTGATTAAAGTTCGCTGTCAGTGCCGGCGACCTCTCTTCTCGGAAGACCATTTGCTGACGCTTACGATACGTTTGGAATATGAGCGTTGAATGAATTGCGAAAACATTCTGGGCTGCCCTTTAACTTTGTACTGCGGGCACAAATTTGGGGCATTTAAAATAACATTGGTCGCATGCGGTCGGAAAAAGTTGCCGGCTCCTCAATGCTGCGAGCCTCGTCAATCTCATTGTCTACCATTTAACCGTGGAACTCCGCGCTTGGTTCCGAGAAGTTACTCTTAGACCAAGCTTCCGCGGTGCAATACACCGGCGCAGACGGGTAAAGCAGTGCCTCGCTACTTCTACGCATTTTAGTACGCATGCGCGAATCGCCTCGTTTGAAAACATTGGACATAGCTGAAGCTAGAAAACGGCAGATTTTGCACCATGTCTCATTCACTTATAATATAACGTCTTGCTCAATAAGTATGGAACATGATTAGAAGCTCGCTGAAATGAAGAGATGAATTATTCACAGTGATTCATTGAACTGTTCCCAGCCTTACAAGAATTTTGTCGAATATGGCTGTCGCTACGGTCATGGTTGGGTGGAGAACGGAAGCTATACTGGCAAGGGGGAGATGAGGGATTATGGAAAAGGTAGCCGCAGAGCTGCTAGTGGAAGGGACGCTGTATTACTTAAGAAATAGTATAAGCGATGGAAATAGGCAGCAATTGAATGGCGTAGTATAGGTGGTTAGACGAAAGGAGGACTTAGGAAGCGTTTCATGAATGCGTACATTTCGGAAAATGACTAGGGTCGAGTGAGCCAGGTGGGATATCTCGCGCCGATCCCGTCAAAGCTGAGAAGAAACAGGTAAATGCTCTTCCAGTGCGGTGTAAAACATGAGTTCGAAAGAATACCGGGGATGGACATGTCTGAGACATGTCCTGCCGGCATGATGGACAAGCAGTCTGAGACTACGGTTACGATCAGCAGATTTCACAACGCTAGCTCTGAAAAAAGTCGGTCAGCAGACGCTCGTGTCGGATCTTCGGTTCGGCAAAGTCCACCCTCAGGTCAGTCACCGCGCGTCTTTGAGACCAATAAACGAAGCCCAGGAGGGACTCTCAACTACCATCGGGCCGGACAAAGTCCAAGCGGCTCGAGCTTGCTGCCAGGATACAAGGGTGCGGTTGTTTTGATGTGCGTCGCAATGATCCCGTTCCGAACAAACACTGCAACGCCCTCGTACCCTCGGCTATCCGGCCAGTCACTGACTACACCCATGAAGAGATCACTCACTGCATTCCGCTGCAAACATGTTTAGCAATAAGCACCAGGTATATGGTTTGTGTTTATCGATACATGAATCAATGTACCGATGCGCATCAATGTCGTCAGACCAGTAGTGCTTCAGCTACAGCTATGGGCACAGCTCCAGCGCGCGCCTTTTTGGGCAAAAGGGACATGTGCATTTTAAGCATATGATATGGGACTCATTTTTGCAGCCATCACAGCCTTGCTGTGCAATGCTGGATGCAATTTGGGATGCATTACCACTCGATGTGTAGAGCATTGGTGTAGTTATTTAGGCTTGTTAGAGTGCGAAACTTTTTGGTTATGTTTGGTGCTGTTCAATCACCTTTTCTGTAGTGTATACTGCGTTTGCAATGCCAATGATATCGTTTAATGATTCACTGACTCATCATTAGTGAGGATGTGTACTCTCCTAGCTGAAAAATTACCAAAACATGATCAAATGTTTGCGATGACTTCCAATCAGGCACGACATATACATTATAAAAATGGTTGTTCTTGATGATGCCGGCCATTTCAGTAACGAGATTGTGAAACTTATGCCGCACCATGCGACCATTCTATTGCATCAAAAAAGTGCGTAAAAAGTCGTGAAGACCAGACTGAATTTAAACTATCCAAGCCTGCACGCATTTAAGGCAACATTTACGGCACACATTTGTGTTTTCTCTAGATGTTCAAGCACGCTTCAATGCAAAGAAAATCCTCAGAGCTCAGCGTGTTTCTGGTGCGATGTGCCGACTTTCCAGGATTGTGGGCGAATTAAACCTCGTGGTCAAAGAACTCGCCTTCTGCTCAGGTAACCGTATTTATCGGTGCCCCACTGAAGGTCGTCAGACTCCTATATAAGACAACCCGCGGGGCGGCGTGTCCACTCGTGGCTGGTGTTCGCACTGCTATCACTTGTTCGCAAGGTGCAGAGATGAACTTTAAGCTACTGGTAAGTGGAAATATTACGCCGGTGACGGTGGTAAAACCTGAAGTGATCAATGCACTTGGAAAATATTGCCTAACAATGAAATATTATACCAGGTCATGGCTGATAACGTTTTAAGCCTACGTTACCGAAAGCCAAAATGAATCACGTAGAGTATGTGTGAAGGAGCACGTTCTATCTTGACTTCTGGGATGTAGTTTGCGTACATTAAAATATACTTTACAGGTACCCTTGCTCTCTCCCTCTATCCGACCTTCCCGCGTCCACCCTTCCTCCCTCCTCCCTTCGTTCCTTCTCCGTATTACTCTCTCAATCGATCTTGCTTTCTCTGTTCCGTTAACGCTCTCCGTCCCACTTAATCTCTAAGTCCCTCTTGCTTTCCTTCTTCTTTTCCCTGTCTTTACCCCTTCGTCTCAATATCCTCCCCCCCCCCCGCCGACTCGCCACTTTCCAACATCCTTCTCTCGCTTTTGCCAGCTCTTCACTTTTTTCCTTCTTCTTTTCCCTGTCTTTACCCCTTCATCTCAACATCCTTCCCCCTCCGCCGACTCGCCACTTTCCAAAATCCTTCTCTCGCTTTTGCCAGCTCTTCACTTTTTTCCTTCTTCTTTTCCCTGTCTTTACCCCTTCATCTCAACATCCTCCCCCCCCCGCCGATTCGCCACTTTCCAACATCCTTCTCTCGCTTTTGCCCGTTCTTCACCCCTCGCTCCTGCCATCCTTAGGTCCCTCCATCCCTCTAGTTTTTCGTCCTTTCCACCATTCATCCGTATATTGATCCCTCGGTGTCTTGCTCCTTTCGTCTGTCTGGTATTTCCTCTGCAAGTATTGCTGCAATATCTTACGGCATTACTTGTGACGCTGTGAATCGATGCATTTCTTTCAGTGATTTCGCAGGACTATGATCTTTGGCACCGTCCCTCTTCATCTCATTCGCGTTCGCTCTCCCCTTTCTCGTCTCCTGTTTTTCCTTTCCCGTAATTCTAGTCCTCTCACCTTTTCTCCCTATCTGGTCCCTACCAGACACAACTTTTCTTCCCGCGAACCCGCCTCATCTGATCCACAGGAGTCCGCGGGCTTCTGGCCAGGCCGACGGCAAGACCGGGCCAGCTTTTCGCGGCCAATTATATTAACTAGAAAAATACCTGTTCCCCATGTACCTGTAAATACCTGAAAATGTCTGCGACCCACGGCGGTCGGTTGGAGGCGGTTGCTTGAAGGGGAAGGTGCGCTTACGATTTCTTGTTTTATACACAAGCCATCTGTCATAATCATGATCACTGACCAATGATCAATGAAATGAACGGCAAGCCGTGTGCTTTTCATTAAAGTAGCCTCGCTCACTTGTTAATAGCGCCTTTAGTCACCGGTTAGTACATGCAGAACTGTTGTCAAATTGATATAGTGGTGAAGAACATACACCTTACGAGTACGGTAAAGGGGCTATTGCGTATGGTACGCTTCACCTTTGATATGATCGTCACCAGTTTACAATTATGTTTCATGAAAATGTTTGCCTTGTTTGATGTCCCATATATTTCATTCGGGGATATAAATTTGTATACTACTGAGAGGGCGCTGAGTGCTCTTCGTAATGTTAACCTGAGATTTACCAGTGAATTTCTGAGGCCTCAAATGAAAATGAGCAAAAAAGGCACGCTTGGACATTGGAATGCAGTGATCGTCTGAACTAATGATATACCAGCTACCTAAACGCATTAATACCAATACAACCATGATCATCTATCATCACGATCATATCAGAGCGATTTCCAGTGAGAAGTCATTCTTTAACATCATAAACGATTATGTAACCGACAAGATATAACTTTCAACTTCTCTTTGTCATTAGGAGCGCAAATCAAAGTGTCCGAAATCCCGGGAGAAATCATGATTCCAAATAAGCTATGTCAAGTTTATTACCTGAGCCTCCAAGCCAGTGTTATAAAGGAAACCCACATTCCCAACATCTGTATATGTGAGCAGGTCTGGGTTAGGAGTTTCCAGGTTAACATATCGCGTCAATCAAAAACATAACGTCAGATTAGCATAGAACCGATCCCCCCATTCCGTTCCGAGCAAACACTGCAAAGTCCTAGTACCTCGGCTATCGGCTCGGCCGGTTAGAGACTACATCCATAAAGAGACCGCTCCATGCGTTGCTTTGCAAACATGTTTAACAGTAGGAACCTTGTAGGGGATGCCTTTTGATCGATACATCAATCAACATACCGATGTGTATCAATGCCATTAGACCAGCACTGCTTGAGCTGCAGCTAAGCGCACAGCTGCAGCGTTAGTCTTGTTGAGCGAAACGGATATAAGCACCTAATGGATATCATTTTGCAGTTATTTTTGCAACCCTCACAAGTTGACTGCACAACGCTAGATGCAATCTGTGATGAATGATCACTCGATGTGTAGAGCATTTATGTACATATTTAGGCTTATTATAGTGCAGTGTTTTGGCTATGTTCTCTGATCTTCAATCAGCTTTTCTCTGATCGATACTACGCTTGTAAGAGTGATGATATCTTTTAATCATTCACCGGCTCATCATTAGTGAAGATATGTGCTTTCCTAGCTGCAGATCATCAAAACATGGTCAGATGCTTCGGATCACTTCCAGTCAGTCACGACATAAACGTTACAATAATGGTTGTTGCTGGATGATGCTGACCCTTCAGTAATGAGACCGTGAAACTTATGCCACACCGTGGGGTAGATTGTATTGCATCAGACAATTGCTCAGAAGCCGGTGAAGACCAGACTGAATTCAGAGCATCTCAAGCACGCACACATTTTAGCGACATTTAAGGCACACATCTGTGTTTTCTCTATTTCTCTTTTTTTCTCAAGCAAGCTTTTTTATTATTTCCAAGCAAGCTTTGATGCACAGAAGCTCTCAGAGCTGAGCATCTTTCTGGTGCTATGCACAGATTTTCCAGAATCATTGACGAATCAAATATCGTGGTCAAAGAACTCTCCAGCTCTCTGTCTTTCCATCCTTACGTCCGTCCATTCCTCTAGCCTTTTGTCCTTTCCACCATTCCTCTGTGTATTCATTCCTCGGCGCCTCGCTCCCTCCGTCTGTCTGTCACTTCCTCCCTCTAGCCCTCCAGCTGTCCAGCCCTGCGGCTGTCAGCCCCTCCCTCCCCACATTCATCCATGCCTCCACCCCTCCGTCCCTTTGCCCTTGCATCCCTTTGTCTTTTTCCACCATTACTCCGTACCTCTATCGCTCCGTCCCTCGCTCCCTCCGTCCTTCCTTTGTAGCTTCTTCTCCTGAAATTGTTCCTTTCTTGCAATGTCCTCCTCGTTTTGTCGCTCCGATGTTTAAAATATCAATAATCGATTAGACTTCTTGCATGCTTACAAGCAGTTCAGGTGTGAGATCCTCGTATATTGCGGCATTACTTGAGGTGTTTTAAATTCTATGCATTTTTTCAATGATTTCGTAGCGTTATGATTTGAACGAATAACGTCAAAGTGAATGTGCCGGTTTTACGACGTTGCGTTGTTTCCGTTTCAGATTCTGCTGCTGGTGGCCGTGTTTGGCGCCATCTCGGCAATCAGACCCTACGGCCGCTTTTACCCAGACTTTGGACGACGCTACGGGGGTCGTGTCCGCTGTATCCCGGGCCGTGGCCACTGGTGCGGTGGTGGTCGCCGCTAAACCGAAGGCTTTGCAGAAGGCTGCAGAGGTCGTGGCCACGGTGGCTAAGGTCGCCACTATCGACACAGAAAGATGGCGTAGGAGAGCCGTCGGTGGGGAAGATTTCGTTCAAGTCTCCCTGCGGTGTGACCCGACCCTGACGCGTACAATGATCGCTGTCTGAACTGACCACTGTCCGCCTGACTCTGATCGTTACGTGGAGCTGCTTTTCTGCTGCAAAATAACTCTGCACACACAAAGTCTCGTTTAAGCAACAAAGGAGGTATGACTTGATCACACTGCGGCAAATGTCAACGCTCGTGTGCCTCGCGGAAAACACCGCAGTGTTGAAGCAAAGCCAGCAGACTGAAGCCCTGCATGAACGAGCTGCATGAACGCCACGGCCGGTCACCCTTTCAGGCGTGCCTGGTCGTAGTGTGGGGTGCGATGTTTTGTTAATACACTAGCCAGCTTGTGCCTCTCACCTCATCTGTGCCTGCGGTTGGGCATCTCGTCTCGCTCTGCTACGGCTGGCGCGACTGGCCGCAACACCAGCTGCACACGTTCCCTTACCCCTGAGACGGCTCCACTGTCGTTTGTAAACAGAGTAAACGCAGCTTTCCACCGCATTTCTGACGGAGAGATGGTGAACCGAAGTCAACATATGAATGCAAACTTCTGTTTTCCGGTTCATCGCTGCGGGAGAAAAACTAAGAATGCGCAGCTGAGCCAATGAACTGCTATAAAAATTACGCACCAGGTGTAAAGTTACAAAACATCATAAAATAATCTTGTCCCTATCACAGTGTATGCATAAATGTGCTACCTTTTAAGTTGACTACATATAACGCAGCTTTATGAACGTTTATGAACACGCAATGCCCAGTTTATTATCTTTGAAACAAATCAAGTATTAGTTAATGTATGGTGCAACTGGTATGGTAAAACATATGGTACAAATGCCTCCCCTCATGCAGGGCGCGCGTGGGTTGAGTGCTCCGCACGGCCCATGCACCTTCTTCACGCCGACGATGTCGTGCAGCTGCGGCTCCGTCTCGGGGTCTCGAAGCTTGGCAGAAACAAAGTCGTCCAGCGGGTCTTGGCGGGGCTCGTCGTCAGGAGGACATACAACAGGGCATGGGCCTGCCGACCACCTGGAATGCGCAGGTGTTTCCACTAGAATAGCATCGTGTGTTGCCTACGCCGACTCACCTTGTGACTGGCAGAGCAAAAAGAATGGGCAAGTTGAGATAGCATCCCCTCTCGGCTTTATGAAATTATATGCAAGTCCTCGGTAGCTCAGCACGTTGGTGGAGAAAAAGCAGAAGCAAATGCGTAATTTCGAGCAATTTGGTGGAGTGCTGAGCGGTGTATAATGTGTAAATTTACTCCAAAATACGTCATCGAGAGTTCACCATACATTCGGCTAACATCCCTCTCATTGTTGGCGGAAGAGGGAGAGGTCAGAGTTACTGTTAGATGCTGGCGAAATCCCAACGGATTAGGAAAATGTACCCTTGGGCAGACGAGCGACAGGAAATTGGCAGATAACTGACAGAAAAGGAGCTCAAGAAAAGGAACTGTATATGACAATTTAAGGGCTCGCAAATATCAAGTCTTGCGCTAAAGCCTTATATAAAGATATCATTTTTAAAATAAGAATATTCGTAACGTTCTGTTTTCATTGCTACATCATATATTGATAATACTTTGTAACAATGAATTATGCAAGTTATTCCTTAGGTCTTTAAAATCCAAACAAAACATGTGACGTCATAATGGGACTAAGTCATATGGTACCAACGCTATGGCGGCGTGAAGACACTGTTCTTTGCGGGCTGATTTAAGCATAAATAATATGAAAGCCCAATTGTTTTTTACCTAGCACATTAAATAAAACATTTGTAGCCGGAAAATGGCATGGGTTTGCAACAGAGCCACAAAATTATTGCTGAAATATGATTCCAGCCTGCCCCCGACAGACAGATGATGTTACCCAGTCACCAGCGGTTTATCCTGAAGAACTCGAGCCTAAAGTGCTTAGAAACAGTTTGTGTAAAAGAGAACAGCATGCAACAACAACAGCAAAATATGCTAGAAATGAGATACGGCGAGCCAGATGGCCATGCAGCACATTGGGACGCCCATTGAGAAGTTGGAATGCATATGTTGTTGCCTTAGTGAGAGCCTTGTCAGGGTGGATGCAGGGATGGGCTGCCCTTATGGGGTTAGTGAGTGATGGAGCTCGGCTGCTCACATACAGACGTGCTATTTCAGTTTAAGATAGCACAACTTTCCTGCCAAGTGGGCCGATTTCTGGCAAGTTTTGCAATGTCTGCAACTCAAAGATTCGATGCCCATATTTCACCTCCGAAATTGTCTAACAGGGATGTTTTAGGGTGATGGGGGTATTGTCCTCTGTCCACCATTTCTATCTAGACATCCAACATTATAGATCTGCAAGTTAACCGACACCTAGGAAGATCATAGCACAGCAACAGCGAAATTATTGGCACCTGCCTTCCTCTCATTGCCTTGTTTTCACCTTTCACTCCATATAGGTAGCGCAGTGCAAAAAAACATGCGTAATCATGGTCCCTTATTTTTTTGGTGTAATTATTACATGCGATATTTATTTCTTTGCCTTTGAGTTTTCTTTTTCAAAAGTGCTTTACATATAGATATTCACGCGTCTTAGCCTCAACGAATATGGTGCGGGTGCTGCAACCAGAAAACGTGATTTGGTAGGATATATTTTTCAGTCAGATACTGGTACCGAGTTGTATTTAGCATGGTTGAAATACAAATTATTATGCTTTCCCATAGACCATTAAAATAAAGATGCAATACATCATTGTCATCCAGTTCAATGGCGAAATCACCGTTTTAAATCATGTGACTAGTATCTACCAGCCTTTTCGTAGAATCAACCAAAAACAACGCTGCGGGCTACCAAATTTAATCCCATGGTGATGTCACGTCTGTGTACCTTTCTCTAGTATCCCTGCCTTTAAATCTCAGCCCTTTAAAAAAACTAGCTATCATGATCTAAGTTACTTCTTTTTTACATATCACACTTGGCACCAGTCTGATTCCTTAAAAGTAGCATTGGATGCACACGGCAGTTTCTAGAACTGATGAAAATTTGATAATGCGTGTGTGGGTTAATGCTTCAGATTGCCTGAGCATAAGCAGTTCAAAATTGTGCTTACACTTCATGAGGGATAACCCTTACTATTTACCATGAATAGTGGGTACCATGGTCAAACAAAGCAAGCAAGATCTCAGAGCCTCATCAGCATGTCAGATCAGTTAAAAGCCTACCCCTTGATGCAGAGTATGTGGCAATGTCATGTGGATATTGAGAAAAGTAAGCAGAATAAACACCATTGTCACTCCTTAATAAAACACCATGACATGCTCAATATGGCCTGATTAGGGCTTCAGCTATTTACAATAAGCCTAATTATTAATATAACTGCCAATATTTGTCATGCTGTCCTTTTCATGCTGGTCATAATTGGTCATGGAAGGGAACCAGATTTCAAGTGGGATGGATATGCACCTGGAGTGCACCATTCCAGTGAAATGTTATGTTTGCTAGCTAAGCAAAATACATTTATCTGCCTAACTATGTAAAATATACACTGCATCATCATGTACAACAATGCCACTAAAACTGAGAATTAACAAAGCCTGGGTGGCAACTAAATTATAGATGGAAAAGATGACCTGAGAATGATGCTTTGGAAGGGAACCCATGACTAGCATGCAGCCGGGGGTAACTTGGTGCAGACATCACGGGTGGAAATTGGAGGTCGCAGTCCATCCGACCGGTAGTAAAACAAATAGCAACACAGATGTCATTCCCACAAAAACACTGTCACAGTGAGATTGACCAAGACCATTCGACAAACCAAATCGAGATTTCAAAGCACAGTTCGGACATGGCTTCTGAAATATTTCCGTGCATGGGGCAAGTTTAATCATCTTCTGACAATACAACTAGTTCGCCGTTACTGTTAAAGAATAGTTCATGCCTATCTGTCTAACCCGTTTGTTGTTATTGCCTACTGGTGAACGCTTCACCAAACTGGTTATGACCAAATGCAAAGAACCCCATACACATTTCCCGCACGCACGCTAACACGCTATTTACGCCAAGTAGAGCTGGAAAAACGTTCCAAAATGCGCCCAGATTTGAGTCGTCGTCAGATCTCCCCAGCAATATCACCCGTATTGTCATTTTCAGAAAACCATTTAAATACATTTGAGTCCAGAGGAAATTAAAAGACTCTAGCCGCAGTCGATGCATCATCAGATGCTTGATTGCCCTCACCTCACATGACTGTTCGGACTGCTTTCACCACTGGTCGGACTGGTGCGTGTCGTGGGGGGGGGGGGGGTTGGTTATGGTTTTTGAAAATTGGACTGCTTCCGCAACTGCTTTGTAATCGGAATTTTGCATGCGGACCTGCTTATGTTCTAAATAAAGAACACAAACACAAACAGCCAACTTTGTTGTACCCACTAAGGTATGGTTGCACGTGTTTGTCAGCAAAAACGTTCTTCTAGCATTTCTGCTTCCTGATAAGTGACGGTCCGTTAGGGGCATTTCGCGGCGATTCTGCAGGCCGCGCGAGGATGACCGGCACATTTATATTAACGGAGCCCAGCATCTTAAACGTGGCCGTAAAACAGATAAAACTGCATAGTATTGCACTAAATACAGACAATGAGCACTCTTTTAAGTTTTATATCGCCTTCCGGTATGGTTTTGAAGGTATGAACATGCAAAGATGAATTAGTCTGAATTTCAGGAACATTTTACCATTGACTCGGCCTAGTGGGGTCCAAGAAGCAATGCAAAATTTGTGACAACACGCGAGATCTCGTAGAGAAAGAGCTTCTTGTTGTTATTTTTGAAAGATATTCTTGCTTTCTTTACGTGATGCTCTAACCTTCCCTAATTTGGATTTGACAGGGTATCATACCTCCTCCAGTCCGCGTTATGAGAAAACGGTGGATCCGGGACGAGGCTAACAGTTTTTGCTACCTATTTTTTTTATCATTTATCCGCATTTCATGATCATGGAAACAAATAAGCTGATACATCAAAATTGCAACTTTCATAACCAGCCCTCATGCATTGGCACTGATGGGATCAGGGAACCAGAATAGCTCTTTGCACTTTAAGTAGCAAGCAAACCTGAGCACTCTTGTGGTACTTGTCGTCCGTGATGCAGGAATGTAAATTAATTAATTGGGGGGGGGGGGGTCTGCCACACCCCAATGTTGGTTTGGGTCCTTCAATGCCAGTCTCCTCCCCCCCCCT